GCAGTGATTATAAGACAATGATGGTAGTAGTGACATTATTACTGCAGTGAATGTACTAAGACTGGAGTGTCACCACTATCATAGCACAAACCTAGACTTTATACACTGTACTGCAGTACCCAGGAGCTCACTACATGCAATGACATAAGAACTGTATCTATAGTAACTGGTTGTAATGTATTAAGATTGTATGATATGTGTGTTTATTATTATTGTAATGTATAGGTGTTGATTAGTAGGTGTGTTTGTTTGCATTCTTTTGTATGAAATTCTACTTCCTGTCTGTCCTTATTTAAAACTCTGATTTGTGTTTTGAAAAGATAGATTTTGTGCATAGTAAAGAATTAAGTGGTGTAGTCTGCTCGAGTCTTGGATATATTACACTGGTAATGGTTGGACCAGAAAGAGATAGCTGGCATTTTACTGGTGTCATTAGTAGTGTAGAGGAGAGAGAGAGACAGTTGAGGGTTCAGAGTTCAGACAAGGTAGTACATGAGTTTGGCTATTCAGTTCTTAATAATTATATGTCTTTATTGCAAGTCAGACATCATAACTGTAGTCTTCAGAGAGCTAAAAGCTATTTTTGGATGCTCAAATTGCAAGCCATTAAAACCAATGACTGGATCTCATAAAAATGCTTAGACTTGGACAAAAGACATGGTCTATTCTTGTTTCCAGGACAATGTCAAAGTATCAGGAACAGCAGAAGGAATGCAGCTAGCTAGGTTGAATATCGGTTTGCAATGTGTCAATTTTTTGTTGGATGGAGATTCTAGACATGTCTGTGGTAGGTACACTCTTTTACAGGCAGCAGATAACAGAAACGAATTGCTTGAAATTAATGGTCGGCTTGATGGTCCACCTTTATGAGTAAGGCAAGTTACAAATTATAATAGAAACACAATTAACAGTCTAGACTAATGGAAAAAAGAACATGGACTATACTCTCCATTTCTATTCAAGGCCAGGAGATAACTGATGACTCTAGCTGTCTATCTAAACAAAAACCAGGAGGCCAAGAACACAAATGTATATTAAACTAATGATTGATGAGTAATTCATCAGTGGGACTGTAGGATAATATGAAGAATATACTCAAGAAACTAGTAGAGCAGGAACAGATAATTTATCATTATAAAGTGGAAAAGCATGTGACTGATGAAGCCAAAAGATGTGTATATTGCAAACAATTGTTTGTTGCCAACAACTTCTGTATAAGCCGTTTCTAAATTTTACTTTGCACTTTTGAAAAAATATCTTTTTGAATGGTTTTATATTTCAAATGATGATTCCCAGTACTTTGGATGTTAGATGTCATTGTTATTTTGACAGTCAATGTTCATTGTGTAGCTGCCAAACTCTTATACAGTAAAAGTAAATTACATGTAATGAGACAGATTAACAGTTTCTTTAAGATAGAAAGCATAGCCATTTCCTTTCTCAAATTGCTTCATTCATTCATTACTTAATCAGCCATGATTAAAATTTGTTAGGCTAGCTACCAAGGTATTACAGCAACAGCCCTGTCGGAAGGTTTTGATCCTGGACCTGAATTTTAACTACATTCTGATGAAGAAATTTTACTCATATCACATGATGTCTAATTTGCAAACTTGCAGGTATACATGTAGCTACCTCATTTCTTTTTTGTAACAATGAAGTTTCCAGATCCAGAGGTTGTTGGAACTTGGAAGTCCTCTTCCACCACCACCAGTACTGATTTGGCAGAGATATTCACTGATAGTGAAGTTAAATCTAAATGTCACTCTTTCAAATCTCCCCACAGTTGTTGTGGAACACTTTAAATGTATCACTTTATTTAGTCCTCAATGGAAAATTTGTTTAAGAAAGAGATCAAAAAAGACTTCAAAACAAATCAAATTTTTTTTATTCACCCGAGAAAGTGAGGGATGCATATGTATCTTTAAGCTAGAGAGAAGTTCTTACGTTCAAAAATTTAGGGAAATATCAGCTTAAGACAATACCAAGTAAACACAAATTATTCATCAAATCCTCAGTTATTTGTTTATAAATGCACATTTATCAATTCAAATGAGAGATAATTTGTGACCATAATTGACAAAAGGGACCTTATGGCGGGTAGTGAAATTTGTCTTTCTAGCCTAAGAAATCCAACTTCCTGAGCCCCATTTATCATAAAATTACTCCACAGGATGCAAAAAGTTATTATGAAACTTTTAGAAACAATGATTGTCTAACAAAGCACTCACAGGTTGATATTTTCCATTATAACGATCAATTTTAAAATCCGCCATAAGGGCCCTTTTGTCAATTATGGTCACATTTGTAGAGGCTATTGAAGGCAAGAGGTCAGAGCACTTGGTTTGGACAAGATGAGGAGTGAGTGGGTTAGTATCAAATGTGGAGGGTGTGTACCCTAGACAAAGAGTGAGTGAAGACAAAAAATTGTTTAATGTTTCTATATTTCAGGCACAAGGGCTTCATTAAAGAAACAAAGACAATTATTACTTTAAAAGGAGAATGAAAAAGAGAGTGCCAGCCTGGACCACAAAAAGTATGCAAAGTTTGTTCTATCTTACTACAGGCACTGAGGGTACTCAAAAGAAAACAATGGTTCAAGTGCCTATGCTGTACAAACCCTGGTTTCTTAATTTATAGGTTTGCCAAGTTATTGACAATCATTGAGCAAAATCCAGTGATGATAATTGAAGGATCATTAGGCAACGGAAAGAGTACACTGGTACATGAACATAAATACTGAGGGACCAAACAAAAGGTCTATGTCAATATTTGAGGATTGGGTAGAGACAAAAGAAATCTGGTAAAAAGTTGCCACCAAAAGTTAACCTTCTCACCAGCAATGGAGATTTGCTCTGTCAGTGGCTCTGTCGCACCTTTCAAATTAATTCTTCTATTTCTAACACCTGCTCATCTTTTAAAGGAGAGTAATTAAGTTCCTCACCAGTTCTATCGCAAGATGTCTCAAAAGAATACTGTGTGGATTCATGTGCTGACACGTTAACATCACTAGTTGTACATAAGAAGTCATCATTAAATTTGACAAGAATAAGTTATGTGTACAGCTTGAACCCAGACCCTTCTCCCCATAGGAGGAGGGTTGGGTCTGGCTTGCAAAGCAGCAATGAAGCTGCAAATACACATTGTACATGCACATGTTTGCCACAGTATACTTTAATCAATGCATATATAGATCAGGTTTGTTGGAGAACCTGCATTTGACACTGGTGGTCCGAAGAGTGAATTTTTATCCTGCTTTCTGCACGTGCAAGACCTCTTTTATTGACTCTAGGGGCTGCTACATAGTAGTACTACAAGTTAGTCTGTTGTAGGAAGTAAAAATGAGGCAGACAATGTTAAAGATCAGTTTGTAAATGGAGTTTATACGCCATGTTTCTTGAAAGGCTTGATAGTGGAAGTTGGTGATGATAATATAGATATAGAAGAGGAAGGTGAAGAAATCAACTCTTCCAATAGTAAGTTGCACATGTACAAGTAAATTGTATAGCTTTTAAATGTACAAATATTTTTAAAATTTACATAGTCACTGAAAACCAAAACTATTCCTCATCAATTAGATCAACTTATAGCTCAATTGAAAAAGTGATAAACCTCATGAGTCAACACTGGATGGTCAATATATAGATACATTGCAATGCTGATTTTGAACTGAATGATTTTTTCTATAATTATATTTTGGTTGTCATCTTTTATGCACATTTGGGTAATATTAGATCAGGAGAGTGATGCTGTAGTGATGACTGATAAGTAGTATTGCTGCAGTGATGAATACAAAGAGTCTTCAACATTAATCCTTTGTACCAAATGAGTTCTGAAAGATGCATCTACAATATAGACTTGTGCAGTCAATGAAAAGTGTTAGAGGGTGGTATTACCAGATCTAAATAATTCCAACAAGTGTGAATAGCGGTGGTGATAACACTATTCATGAAGTCAGTCCTCATTTTAAGCCGCAAAAAAATTACACACAAGAGACTCTTTATGATACATTTCAGTTAAAAAGGTAAGAGAATGGTATGCAAAATGGGACTAGTGCAGGTGAAGTGATAAAGGAATGAGAATATTATCAACTAATGAGTTTTCTTGAATAAAATAATTGGTGTGTCACTCCAAAATGAATGTCCAAAAGAATATCGTATACGTTCAAATTTTCAAGTGTTTAAAATTTCGTGTTTTCAATGAAATGTGCTCAAAAGTTAATTTTCGTGTGAGCTAATTTTCGTGTTCTTGCTATAGTCTACATACAATAGAAATGGCATTAGAGGTGGTTTAAATTTCATGGATTTAAGGTGAGCACAAAAATAATGAAAATTAACACACCACAAAATTACTGGGTGTACAGTAAATGCAGCAGGACATCAGCCACTTCCTGATAAGTCATTATCACTATTATGAACTCTTAGAAGAATGGTGCTACAAGCTGACAGACATGATTTGTCATTACAAAGACAATCCTAAAAGCTTAACATAGGACTATGCTGGTCTCTTTAGGAGTAACAAACAAGAAAGCAAACTGTACGGTTATAGAATGGAATACCAATTCTGGAGCAAATTATCATTTCAATGAATTAAGAGAGTAGGCATGACCATTTCATTTCTCAATTTGCTTCATTCATTACTTGGATAGAATAATCATCAATCAATCATCAGCAGCAATTTAATCATCAGCAGCTAATTAAAATTTAAACATAAAACAATAAAATTTAAAATCTAAAAAAGATGAAACAATAAAGAAAATGGTAGCAAAAGATGAACTTTAATAACTATTAAAATTATTTTATTTAAAATAAAATTATTATTGCAGCTATTAAAATTTAGCTAATGATGATTAATTTAATCAATTTAATCATCAGCAGCCATGATTAAAATTTGTAGGCTACCAAGGTATTAAAACAACAGCCCTGTGCGAAGGTTTTGGTACTGGGTCCTGAACTTCAACTAGATTCTAATGGAAAAATTTTACTTGCATCACATGATGTCTAAATTGCAAACTTGCATATTGGAAGTCCTCCTCCATCACCACCAGCAGAAATGTTCACTGATAGCAAAGCTCAATCTAATTGTCACTCTTTCAAATCCCTCCTAAATTGATGTGGAACACCTCACATGTATCATTTTATTCAGTCCTCGATATGGCAAATTTGTTAAAGAAAGAAATGAAATAAAATGACTTCAAAAACAAATCCATTTTTTCCTTCAACTGAATAAATGGGAGATGCATGTATTAAAGCTAAATGGAAGTTCTTACATTCAAAACAGGGAGAAAACATTAGTTGAAGAAAACACCAAGTACATATAAATTATTTATCAAATGCTCCAGTTACATTTTATATTTTCGCATTTATAAATTCAAATGAGAAATAATTTGTAGAGGTTACTGAAGGCAAGAGGTCGGACCTTTTGTTTTTAGACAAGGTATAAGAGTGAGTGGAGTAGTACCCAATTTGCAATGCATATTAAAGGCAGCTGAGTCCACCCCAGACAAATAGTGATAATATACATGTAAATACAATGAATTATTTATATCTTCTCATATTTCAGGCACAAGGGCTACATTAAAGAAGCAAAGATGAGTCTTAATCAAAAAAGGAGAATGAAAAAGAAAAGGCTCAAAAGGCAACAAGGGTTCAAGTGCCCATTCTTTACCAAACCTTGTTTCTTGATTTTTAGATAAGCAAAATATTGACAATCATTGAGCAAAACCCAGCGATGATAATTGAAGAATCATTAGGCAGCGGAAAAGTACACTGGTACATGAATACTGAGAGACCAACCAAATAGTTTGTGTCAAAATTTGAGGCTTGTGTAGAGGTAAAAGGAATATAGACAAAAGTTGCCACCAGAAGATATCATTTTTACTAGCATTGGAGATGCCATCTGTTAGTGATGGCTCTTTCACATCTTTCCAGTTAGGAATCCTTCTATTGCTGTCACCTGCTCATCCTTTAAATCAGAGTAATGAAGTTCCTCACCATGCAGTTCTATAGAAAGGTGGCTTAACAAAATAGCACAATGATTCACGTGTTCACATATTAACATCACTAATTATGCATAAAAAACGTCATCATTACAGTCACACTTATAAGCAGATTGGGCAAGAACAACTTGTGCGTACAGTTTGAACCAGAAGACCTTTCTCCCCACAGGTGGGTAGGTCTGATTTGCAACACTAATAGTCTCATAGTACTGACCATCAAGCAGCAATGAACCTGCAAATATACATTGTATGTGTACATGTTTGCCCATACTCTCCAGTTGGTTGTGAAAGATGGCTTCAAAAATCAAACTCGGATAAATGGTGCTATTAGTAGCAAGTGTGTCAAGGTTTTCAGCTGTTTGTATGTCAACTATAGTCACAGATATACATGTACTGTATTGCAAGGGGAAAAGAAATTACAGTCTTACAGCGGAACACGCTACAATTCACAACTAGAAAATGCTCCTCTCAATTTAAAAAATTTTATTTGAAAAGTTTAAAGAATTAGGAAATGTACCAAACCTTTCAGCTCACAAAAAATGCCGACATTTGAAATACTCATCCCCGATCGTTTGAAAGGACCACTTATTTTGCCCAAACAGGGAACTTTCCTTCATCTGGATATGTTGTACCCTGTGTTAGTGGATTAAGGTATGAGATTAGGAAATTATTTCATAAATACAATTCTAGTTCTATTTTAGACTCAAGGCCGGTTCAAACTGAAATGGTGCATTGACAACATAGAGAAAGATGCATTGAAACAACTGCCAAAAAAGAGGATCTCAAGTATAGATAAGCAACCTCGAAATATAAAAATGGGAAGAAAAGTGAAACCAGAGTGTCTCGTCAATGTTAGTGGTGAATAGGAATAAGGAACAAAGAAAACTTGGAGACCCTCCTTAACTTTGATTTTGACATATCATGGCAAGTATCTCTTGGATCTCAACTTGGAAGTAGCACAGTATATACTGTTCATATTCCTTTAGAAGAACCTCAATACTCTGAAGTCATCATCTACTCCAAGCCAACAGGAAATTCAAACTGTCACTGAAAACAGAGTCACCACAATTAAAACCAATCCACACAACAGTAACATCATGAGCATTAGACACCAGATGAAGATGTCTTCTTTAAAAAGTGAGTTTAGTACTTATGTACAATAAACACATAGCAAACTGAGCTGCTCGGAGTTGGACATTATGGCTGACAGAGGTACCTTCCAAGAAGACATCTCGCGCCAAAGCTGGAAGAACACCAGGAAGCAGTACAAGATATGAACCATACAGCGGGTTATTTTCGAGGATAACAAATTTCGCAGATTTTTCAAGATTCACAAAATTAAATTCATTGAAAATCAATTTAATACGGTACACAATGGCAGATGAGTGAAAATTCGCGAAAATTAATTCAGTGAACCTCCAGATACAGGTCATTCACGAAATTTATTATCCTTGAAAAAAAACAGCTACACGGTATATAGGAGGAAAGCTGATCGTGCTGGACGTCTGGGACCCCCAGCAACTGCATCACACACAACACAAAATTTTTGTCAATAGCATCACACTATTTGATATTTTTTAATCAATAGAGGATGGTTGGCATCACTAAGGCCAACAAGTTAGTCAAATATAGCAAGGATGTTATAGAGCCAGGCCAGATTAAGGAGGGAAGCAAGTATTATAAAGGAATACAGTAGTTGTGATAGGAAGCAAATAAACTAGAATCAGTAATAAATTGAATATGGTAATACATTCAGTGTAGCTACATACTGTACATGTGTGCCTCAGTAGAGCAATAAAGAGATTTATTATTCACACTATTGTAGGAAGTAAAACAAGGTAGAAAATGTTTAAGTTAATTGTAAATACCAGATTTTTTTTAGAGGCTTGATAGTAGAAGATGATAATGATAATATGAAAGCAAAGAAACTCCAAAACATGCTAATTCTGTGTGTTTAAAATGGTATTCCTGTGAACAGTATTGTTCATTTACAACAAAGGACTTGACAATACATAAAAATATTAGTATATGAAACGATGCAAAGAAAAACAAGAGGAAATAAAATAAACTGGACAAACTGGAATAACAAGAACAGGCCTCCAATAAATGTGAAAAACCTCCTCAAAAGCACATAAGTCCTTAGCCTATGCAGCACAGCTATCCATGCAAAATCCATAGCTGGTCCTCTGGCCCTTGTAGAAGTGTGGTGTGGTTCTCTCATTTATATCAAATTACAATTAGTATGCCACAGTTAAAGCAAGCTCTTGCCAGTCTCATCACCAGCAGTTGCACTCCATTAATATATGTAGCAATAGAGCTTGAGAGCTCATTATTCTGAGATACGGTGTAATAATGATCAGCATTTTGAATGGAAAGATACAATGGGAAAAGAATGAAGTAAACTAGAAAAGAACTTTTTGACTGGTCTGGAATAACATTTACTCTTTTAAGCTACGGGAAGAAAGAATTGGTGCTGCTAAGCATCACATAAAACAGAAACAGTGCAATGTGCAGCAGATTCTTTACTATTGCTAGTTTTCTGGTACACCAAATGTGAGGGGTTTGAAAAAAAGATAAATCTGTTTGAAAAACCCAGTAAAAGAATCCAATAATCAAGTCAATATTTAGAGAAATCCAATCTCAATATCCAAATCCAAATATGTAATCTCAGTGATTTATTAACCATTATTAAATAAATAGTTCAAAAACCATTACTAATAGTAAATTGATCAATATTATAATTAAAATGATGCATGATTAACTTTAATAACACAGTGAAAAATACTAGCTAATGTATAGCTGCTTAATTTCAAGGGTACAATTTTCACTGTATTCGCAAATTCTCCGTATCAGTAAAAGTTAATTTAATAAAATTATCTGTCTCAACCTACATGTATATTCACATGTACTTTTTAAAATAAAATGCTGCATGGCTCTCTAGCTCTTGAAAATGGCTTCATAAAATGTGAACCACAAAAGTTAATTCACAAAAGAGACTTGTGGCCTGATTTGCAAAAGTTTATTGCCTCAAACCTTTCTGGCCATAGCCACTGTAAGTTTAAGAAATATAATGATCCAAAAAATCTAAAAATTCAGCGCAAAAATGGCTGGATTTCAAATCTACTACATCTTTGGACTCTGAAAGGGCAGAACCTCCAAGACATGATTAAGTTGTGGGTACATGTGTTTAAAAATGGTGCTCCTGTGAACAAACAGTATTGTTCATTTAACAACAAGAAACTTGACATTTTATAACAATATTTGTATATGAAACAAAGCAAAGAATAACACGAAGAATTGAAATAAACTGGCCAAATTGGAATAACAAGAAAAGGTCTCCAATAAATGTGAAAAACTTCCTCAGAAACACACAAGTCTTTAAATTATGCTGCACAGCTTTCCATAAAAAAATCCATATCTGGTCCTCTAGCCCTTGTAGAAGTGTAGTGTGGTTCTCTTGTTCATACAATATCACATTACAAATATTCAGCAGTAAAAATAAGTTCTTGCCAGTTTCATCATCAGTAGATGTACTCCATTAATGTAGGCAGCAATAGACCATGAGAGCTGTAGCTGTGACTGATGAAGGCAGTACATAAATATCATTATTTTGACCATCTACATTGTATGCGTAATAATGACCACCAATTTGGATATCAATGTTCAATGGAGAAAGAATGAAGTAACCTTACTAAACTATAACAGCAATTTTTGACTAGTCTGGAAGTTACTCTTTCAAGCTACAGAAGTTGGTTGGAAGGAATTGGTGCTGCTAAGCATTTCATAAAACCAGATACAGTGAAATGTGCAGCAGATTCTTTACTATTGCTAGCTTTCTGCTTTAGTCCATTGGTACACCATACTGTATGTGAGGGATTCGCAATAAAGAAAAACCTGTTTAAAAAATCCAGTAAAAGAATCACAAATAATCAAGAAAAACACAACAGTAATCCAGAAAGTCCTAGCAATAATCAAGAAATCCAGTCACTATATCCAAATCAAAGGATTAAATTTCTGTGATCTATTAACCATTATTAAAGATAACTAACCATTACTAATAGTTACATGTAATTGATCATTATTATAATTAAATAATAAATAATGACATTTAATAATATGGTGAATACTAGCTAATACTGTATAGCGAGCGCATTTAATTTCAAGGGTCGAAATTTCACAATTTTTGTATCCGCAAAAGCTAATTCCGTAAAATTATCCGTCTCAACCTATAATCACATGTACTTTAATAAAATGCTGAATGGCTCTCTAGCTCTTGGGTATGGCTTCATACAATGAGGACCACAAAAGTTAATTCACAAAAAAAGACTTGTGGCCTGACTCACGAAAGTTTATTGCTCAAAACTTTGTTAACAAATGATCCAAAAATCAAAAAATATAAAACCTTCCAAAACTCCAGCCAAAATCTGGGTGGATTTTGAATCTGCTACCCCTTTAGAGGAAATTGCAAACTTCTTAATCATGTCCTACCACCATCCATGTAAATAACTTCTTTGAACCCATTACCACATTTACTCTCGTGACATAATTCATTCTTACATGTAGAAGTCTATAATGTGGATTGCATGATGTAACTCTCATAATTTTTATAACGGGAGCATTGCAATATTCCTTCCCCTCGTATGTGTACATATACAGGGAATGTCACTTGCATAGGGTCTGTACTAATACTTGTAACAAGGATCAAAATGGCATCATTTAATCAAGACTGAATCAATTATACATGTAGATCAAGACATCAGAGGCTGATATTAAAGAAAATCAAGAAATCAAGGTCCTCTCAAAGCTCTATACTTTTCCGTGCATTCTCGTCTTCAACCATCCATGTTTGTTATGACCATAATATTCTATTTATAACTATCATATCTGTTGGTATGTGTATCTTTAGTCTCGTCGCCCCGCCCCTTCGCTTTCTGAGGAAGGGTCTGGGGACACTCAAGGCTTTTTTGTTGCACGCTGGAATGTAATTAGTGCAGCTGATCGTATGACCGGATGCATCCACGTGTTAATTTCACGTGATAGACACACCCTCCAGAACATGGCTACCAGAAGTATTAAGAAGGAATCATAGCTAAAACTCATTTCAAATCAGTTTTTATCATTAATTTTTTTGTTTTTCTTCATTCTTCTTCTACTTATTAAATGCATTTTGTTATCAGATCAAAACAGTATGTTTAATAATGCAAAATTGACTAAAATTGTATAATCAGATAATGAATGCTATAAAAGCCATGGCTGTCAGAGACATCATTTGCAGATGAGGTAGAAGTAGTTCCCCAAGTTCCATAACAGTATGTACTCCTATAATACTGCACATAATTATTAGATAACAATCATAAGTGAACTGACCATTTCTTAACTTGTTGTTCATCAAGAGGCAAACTCACTAGCTTTAGTCATTGACCAGGGGACGAAGGAAGAGTTTTTCTGCTCCAGAACTTATTTTCCAGAGGACATAATACAGTACTGAGCCAAAGTAGTGATTGACATTTTATTTAGCACTGAATCCTGTCAGCAGGCACAAAAATTATCCTAAATATCGATAACAGGCTTTGTGAGACCCATTTCTGTTCCTTCTTGACTTCTCTTTGAACCTCAGACCTCATGAAGCTCCTTTAAATTCTACCTTTCTTCTAGAGGCCATTTTATTAAAATTATATCATGTGATATTAACAAGTTTGAGGTTGTACCATGTGTTTGGAGCAATCTGATTGGTGCGCCAACATTCCAGCGCAATGCAACAAAAAAGCCTTGAGTGTCCCCAGACCCTTCCTCAGAAAGCGAAGGGGCGGGGCGACGAGACTAGTGTATCTTCTAATAACAATCACACAATTGTAAATATTAATACAGGCTATATTCAAGTGCGTGGTATATAAGAATCTACAAAGTACTGGCAAACTAACCTTTAAATAAATCAAATTCCTCATTAATGTGAAGGAGCTTGAATGCACTCCGTGCCCTGTACCCTTTCTCCTTGGCCAGCCGATAATACACGTCCCTCTTATCTTTAGACGACTTGCCCATGACAACGAGTTTCACTTTCAGAACAGACAGTACTGTAGACTAAAAACACTCTACGAGAGACTAGACACAGTCACAGACCAGAGCAAACCACAGACTTCAGCCATTCCCCACGTGCGAGTGATTGTAAGGCTTCTCGTCTGCCTCCGTATTGTCTTGGTTATGTCCGTAGACTACTAACAATAGACCCTGAAACCACGCCTTCTTATTAAAAACTTGACTCAGCATTTTTAGATAGTACTCTATGCTCAAAGGATGCCTTTAAATTAAAACTGCAGCTCAACAACACATGAACTCGGTAAAAAGTGACTGACATGTTCCTGCAGTTGGATAGAGCAATGCTGAAAAAGAGCAGCACAACTGCATGCATAGATCTATAAGATGCAGCCATGAAAGTTCGGAGAGAGAGTAAAGCATGATCACCACTCATTTCATATTTCTAAAAAAATTTAATTTTAAAATCAAAAGTCTATCTACAAATCAACCATCCATTTGTGTTCATTGATGAGATTGATCAATTTTAGTGACCGGAGAGGATACCACAAGACCCAATAAATATCAGCTTGTGTTTGCGGGCTCTAGTCATGGCCACATTGATCTTCTCCCAGTTAAGAAGCTGACCAACCTGTAATGAAAACAATACCATTGATTTGTAACAAGTATACATGCATGTACATGTATAGAGTTTCTACATCTGCTCATTATGATTCATGACTACTAGGAACAAACACTCTTAGTGTTTTACACTGCAGGTTTGTTGCTCCTAACACTGACACCAGCAAACAACTCCTATACTGTCCCTAGCAATTGTCAATAGTCAGCATTTCCACAGCCCAATTCTTGTTTCTTGGTATACTGGAAGTATGATGAGTCTCAAAACCAGTCTGAAAACTTGTCTGGGGATTGTGCAGTGACTTACAACCTACTGTGAATAAATATTTTACGAAATGACTTTACCAAAGAACTAACTCGAAAAGGATGACTGCCATCTTGCCAATAGCCTAAAATTTCCTTCACAATCTAAAATAAAATATTCAATGTGACATAATCAAAAAGACCTAGTTACCTAAGAATATAAGAGTCTTTCTCTATAGTAATAAGTGTTGCGTGATCTGCTGGATTAGTTTCAAAATTATGTATATTTTGAAGTGATCCGCAGTAACTCTTAAGAACGAAACTCTAAAATATCAGGGAACTCTGCCATTGGTCTAAATTCTATTTTAAAAGTTGATCAAAAGGGAAAATAGAAGAAATTATTAGAGTACACTGTTACTATAGATTCTAAGTATACCCATGCATACTTGTAAGTACACCAAGGTATTCATACCATAATCAGGCGCTTATTTGGTCGATGATTATTACTAAATTCACTAACAAGCTTTTTGCTAATTTTTAAAATAAACTTGGCACTTTTCCCTCAAACATTTCTGGATGACAATAGTTTTGATTTTGAAGCAGAGCTGTGTATTGATACATAGATACACAAGAATAAAGATATACATGTACCTTGGTGGTTTGAAGTATGCTATACACCACTAACTAGAAGTGACTTGTTTGTTTTAACTTTAGATAGTACATATTATGTCTTATCAAATGTGCTCTTGGTCCTTGTACAAATAAAATAAATCATCAGCATTCTCCCCGTTCAACACCACTCACATGTATTATTTGGGATAGCCAAATGGCCAGTTAGTATCTTCCACCAGGCCTGGAAGGCAATAAGAGTAACAGAAACAGTAAAACAAACAATCTAACCCTTCCACCATAATATTGTCCCACTAAGTGTGAAGCCCAACATACACAGGGCAACATGTTGAACGCAACATCAAGCAACATGTCGTATTCAACATGTTGCACACTGTTGAACAAAAGGGGAAACATGTTGCTTGTTATTTTTATAATAATTATTATTATGAATAAAAGGCTGAAGTTATTATTGCATTCCTTATGTGTTGCCTAGTTACCTTTGATGTTTTGAAGCAACATGTTGCTTGAAGTTGAAATTTTTCAACTTGAAGCAACATGTTGCTTGGATGTTGCATGCAACAAATTTGCTATCATACACGAGGCAACATGTTGAATACAACATGTTGCTCCAATGTTGCATTCAATATGTTGCCCTGTGTATGTTGGGCTTTACAAAACAGCTAGTCACAATGTTTCACATGTTGATTTCAATACTAATAATAACAAGAGTAAAGTAGGAATTAGTTACAAAACTTTCTTAACAGCAGTAACTTTCAATGTCTCTTTATGTTTGACAATTACAAGAACAGCTATCAAAATAATTATCAGCAACATAGTTGTAGATAAATAACATTGTAGACTCACGAAGTAGTGTATCTTTTTATAGGCCAGATTACTGTTTGGAATCCACTTGGTTCCATTTTCATTCCAAATGGTATCCATCTACTTTCCATTGGTCAAGTGAGAATAAGTGCAGCCTCCACCAAAACAATGTAAAGAAAGCATCAACTGCATGCACAGCAAAGCACAATCTAAAAGCTTATGCATGCCATTACTGTTAATTTTTTGACAGAGAAAGAAAATGCAAAATAGAAAATTCCAAATAATAATAATAATAATAATAATAATAATAATGAGTGTCCAAAATTGAGTTAGTGTAATGAGTACAAGAATAGGTCACAATGTACCTATATCAACCATCCATTTGCGTTGACTCATGATGCTTATCACTTTCAACATGTGAGGTGAGTGAGAGAGGGTGCTATAAGACCCAATGAATATCAGCTTGTGTTTTGCTCTAGTCATGGCCACATTGACCCTCTTCCAGTCAAGAAGCTGACCAACCTATAATTAAAACAATACCATTGATTAGTAGCAAGTATAAAGCTCCTGAAACATCTGCTCATAATGACTGTTAATGAACTAGAACTATCAGTTTTTCATACCGTATAAGCAAGAGTTCATAACATTATGTACTCTTGGTATAGGGGGGGGGGGTATATATTTCCCTGGGATTTAATTTCGCAATTTAAGAATTTTTATTTATGACAATTATTTTTTTATCATAAGAAGAAAAAATGCAAAATTGTTGCTTGTAAATAGGTTGAAAGGTGATTTTCATTAAATATTTTCCCTGAGAAATATACCACCTATACGGTACTGGAGGTTTTTGTAATTTATACTACATGTACATGCAATTGCAATAATAATACATAGCAAAATTACCTTTCCTGATGTGTTGCTCCTAACAAATGACACCAACACACAACTCTTATCCCTTCCCTGGCATTTGTCAATAGTCAGCACCTCCACAGCCCAATCCTTAATCCTTGGTATACTGGAACTATGAGGTCTGTAAATTTGCCTCGGGCTTCTGCAGCCATTTATTCATGAGTCTTTCTTGACTCTTGTACTGTGTAATTGCTAGTATATCAGAGGGGCTTATCCCTAACTAAAGTAATAGGGAAAGGTGCAAATAATATAAAATTGAAAGATTATGCACTTTTAAAATGAATGGATTACTATACATACAACCACATGATTATTATGTACCTGTACTAAAGTCGTGATGATGTTCACAACTGCTTTAACTTCAAACGTATTGCACATGTGATCAGATGTATTTTCTTCTAATGCAGTACCAAGCTGCAAGAAAGAATGAGACACTATTAACTTATTTTAATTTACATGCACGTGTTACTTTGTCTGTATTTAGAAACACAACATTATTATTCGGGTCAATAGCATGCGCCAGCCAATCTGATTTAATTTCCAAAAAACTCCATCCTGATGTTGACATGGTTGCCCTGGCAATGTCTTCAGAAGCACAACAAAGCAAATTGTCATAAATGAGACGGTTGGACAATTCCATAATATCTTTAATTATAAGACAGAAAATAATATCAAAATGCTGGCAATTAGAAAGTACCAATTCATTCTATGCTGGTGTGTGAGAGAAGTCAGGGACATTGGATGAGCTGATGAAAATCGTTTAAAAAGACTTTCCTTATAACCTTTCTCTCAAAAAATACAATGACATTATATTCAAGTACATGTATGTGTATAATCCTCACTTGGCCACTGGTGATCTCACTAAAGGTGGCAGCTGGTAATGGTCTCCAACAAGTACAATACCAGATGCTAGTCTCAGTAGGAGCAAGAGAGGGGGGAAGGCGAATCTCAGAGGCTATATCGACTATACAATAATCAAACAGTCTATTAGTACAGAGAGGGTGATCAACACTGTGATATATTTTGTATTTCATTTTCTAATGATCTTATGGCTCTGTAGAAAGCTTGAACTACAAATTTTAATCATTATTAATTAAGAGAATTATTAATAATTAATTTTACTTTTTGCTGGTAGATTTCCTTAATTTCTTGCATGGAGGTGGCATCTTTCACTAGCTCAGAAAGATTATCAGAGTTAACTTGAGAATGAGCACGTCCAATTGAACCAATTCTAATTATTTGTTTAAAAAGAAAATAATAAATAAGTACAATATGACAAAATATTTTGATCAAAATTGAAATTATTATGAATTTTTATTATACAGGGTATTTTATCAAATATGGTTGAAAATGACATGAACAAAATTCTCTTTTTTTCATTTTCTGATGGATATACACACACCTGACAGCAAGTACAGTACTTACAATCTATTATACATGAATGTTGTGTGAGCTAATTCAAATCAAAATTGGATTTTTTGCAATTTTATAGTAAAGTGTACATTACAAATGTACATGTAGCTCAATAATTAGGCAAAAAAGTACTATACAAAACATATATGTAGAACACCAAATTTCGGCAAAATTTACTTTTAAAATTAATTAATGTACATGTAATTTATGCTGCTATGAAATGTTAAGCTGCTTTGATTACAATTGGATTTTCTACAAGTCCTAAGTGGGAGAGTAGGTGGACTGTGTTAAAAAATATTTAAATCAACCCACAGTTCAGATTAAGCATAGTTTTAATGACCTTAACCCTTTACCGGCAGTAACTCCACCCACACCGGCTATAAGAACAACTCGTAGGCTCCCTGATAGATTTGCCCCCTATAATTATCTCATTGCTCAAAACAGGCTCTTCGAATGTAATGCATTACTTTAATAATTATTCATTTATACTGATCAATCATTCATGCTCAATTATTATCATAATTATATACTCTTTATATATATCCTTTTTTGGAATACAATTTTGTGTGTCTCTCTCTTACTGATGATCTCTTCTACCTTTTGAATAATAAATTGTTTTGAATTGAGTCATTACACATGTACTATACAATATTGTATAATGTCAATGTATTGCTTGATTAAACTCAAGAAAATGATCATTTTAAATTAAAGACAGTTCAGTTGCTATGTTTACAAAAGGAGCCATAAAGACATGCTGTGTGTGCATCAATATGAGGTAAGTCAATATAAGTTTTATTATTATTATTATTACTATTATTAGTTCTTTGTTTTTCAAGGTGGCCATTCATGAAGGTAACAATCACTAGCAAATGACAAGCCACACCCCTTAGCTCCTCCTCCTGTCTTATCGTACTCCTCAAAGATATCATCAAAATGGCAGAGGCTAGTATTGGAATCCATGGACTTCATGTTTTGAGACAAGTAAGAAGTGGGGTGGAGTTTCAAGGTAACCCGACTCACAGAAAGAAACTGATTTGAGCTGAATGAGGTGAGCATGTGATTTCAAATCAGTGTTATTATTAATATTATTATCACTAAAAGTGCCTTCATAATCAGGTCCTAGACTGACAGGTACTATCACATTTTCACCATTCATACTAATCTCTCCATGGGCTATGTACTCTGTTTCAATGGCTGTCTCTCCATCATTGTTGTTTGTGGTCAGTTTGGCCTTGGCTCTAGTCCCTTGCTGCCAAACCTGTGGCAAGTCATTTCTCTCATTATCTTCCTTGTCATTCTCATGAATACTTCTTGTATGGCTTCCCACAGGGAGAGTGTCATTACCATGGTGAAGAGTGTGTTCATGACTGCTTGCATGTAAGTACAAACAGCTAGTTGACTCAGAGCTTTTATGTCCTACGTTAAATAAATTATTTTCCACAGGGCCCCCTTTCTCATTGTTCAGGAGTAAATGATGGGGTGATCTGTTGTGAATATTCAAAGTTGACAGACTTTTACTCTTTTGACCACCTGCAGTGTTTCCTGCTGTGTATCTTAGTTCAATTAAACTTTTAGCTAGTCTCTTGTATTCATCGCTGTCTTGATTTATGCTCAATCCTGTCATCATGTATCTCTCTCCATCTCCTCCACTCTCTTTCAGTTTGGTAGCTTTATCACAGCTTGCTTTACAGAGACGAGTAGAAGAATCTAATGAATGGAGTAGTGTCACTACGGAGCCATTTAAATGATTATCTTTGTATAGACTTAATTTATGTCTGCTCTCTTCTATAATGTCCTGTAAATAGTAAACAAAAATAAACAAACACAATAAATAAATAAATGAATAAACATGTTTTACTTACATGGCATGTTACTGTATGTAGTTCATTCATTGATGAAATTTGTGCAGTTCGTCTGTGATAGAAAGAAGAAGGGGAAAGAGAATATGTACATTTATATCAGTACATGTACATGTATGAGATCATTTCCCACTTAAAATAACTATTATAAAATTTATCTTCAGAAATACCTCAAGGCACTCACTCCTTCTGCTATTCAAACCAATACCTTAAAGGGTAAGTTCAATGGATTTTTGAGGTATTTTTTATTGGCTTAATATGATTACCTGACCATACAAATGATGTGTTCCAACTCCCATTGTCTGAAAAAAATTATTCACTGAGATTTGAGCCTTCAAGAATGCCCATTTTTCCTTCCTGCCAGTTTACTTCCTGTTGGTGGGGGTGGCTAAACGTGACATCACAAGAGGCATAGCTGCAGCTAAATCCATTCCTTTATACCGTATAGCTGGAAAAGTTTGTGGGAATTATATTTTGCGATTTTGTACGAATATAGCTATTTTTAATGTTTGTGGAATTTAATTTTACTGGTGTAAACATGTACTGTTGATACATTCATTACTTTTAATGCTTTGCAGAATTAAATTGTGCGTTT